TAGAGAAAAACACGTTCTGCCTAGCAACCACAGGGACTCCTGGCCGTCTGGGGGAGGAATCTAACACTATAAATGTCAGCAAGCAACTTATGCCACTGTGCCTCAGATACAAAGGCCTAGTCACTGGGCAATCAAAAATTAAATAAAAAATAGTTATTGAAGGAATATTCAGAAAACCAGATGCAATTATTAGCTTGCTTCCCTCTTAAATAAAGATTGCTCCTAGCTAGATGGGCTCTGTGCTTGGACTTATTTATAAGCTGTTTTTTCACCCAGTTTATATACAGGAAAAGAGAGAGGACACTGAAAGCAATTTACCATTTTGATGTTATTGAAATAGGAACTCAATGTGGTACTAAAGTATATGATGGTCCTGAATCCAAGGTCAGACAGGGTTGTCTGATGATGATGGTTATCAAAACAAAGTACTGACAGCAAGATCTTCTTTTCATTTTATTTCATTTTATTAAGTCTTTTTCTTATTAGAATGAGACTTTTTTTGCCACTATAACTAGCTGAGTTAGTTCAAATAGTTGCATTATTTTTCATCTACTGGACAATTTATTATGAAGTATGAGCTGAGACTAAGAATCTGCTCCTAGAAAATGCATCAGTGAATGGATTTCTGGCTTTAGAGAAGTTACCAGCCATATTAGGCAGCCAAAGAAGGTTTAAGGAAGGACTGTCATGCCTATTTTGCAGATGAACCTCAGTGTGAGGAGACCAAGAGTCTTGCTCTGTGTTTACACAGCAGATCTGCATCTCAGAACAATGTTTCTCACTGCTGCTTCAATACTGAAATGAAATGGCTTTTCCTCTCTGATTCTGATCCAGAAGAGATCACCCAGGACCTAAGGTCTGCTGACTACAATAATCTACATGAAATGGGCTTACCAGTTCTAGGAGAAAGACCAGAGTACATGAAGGAGCTGGTGTGTTTCCCTCATCCCAAATTTCCCTGAACCTAGAATATGCACATTTACCAATTTGAAAATCACAGTGATTCACTCCTCCCTTGACTCTAGCACTTGATTTCTTTTTCCCTTCTTCAATATCTTCAAAGTTCACTGCATACATGACAGATTGCATGCAATGGACATCAACCAAGTGCCAAGGCTGGGAAGCCAGTAACCTCACCTTGAAAATGCTAGCAACACGTTGCTTTACAATAATTCATCTTCAGGACAGCTTCACCTGGGTGACAGACTGTCCCAGGCCCCACTTATGCAGATGTTCCCAGTGCATATAAACAGGGTTTCCAAGATGATGGCTACTCCAGGTGTGAAGGCATGTGTTTCAATTCAGTGTGTAAAAGCTGAAACCTTTGATGAAACAGAGACTACTGGAACCAGCAAGACCACAGGCTAGAAGCTCTGTTCATGCAGCTGCCCAGAGACAGCGAGTCTGTCCTTGCTGCTCTCTGAAAAAGGAACAGACCATGCAGAGAACAGGGGGCTGTGGCGTATCTGCACATGCACTAACAGCTCCTGCTTTCAGCCAAACTTTGGGGGAAAAAGCAAACCAGCCAAACAAATATTGCTGTATTTCAGGGAGCAGCAGCCACTCCACCTTTCTGCCATGTGCTGGCTGTGCAGCAGGGGGATAAATGCCAGGACCACACACGGCTATCCAAGCACCCCACTACCTGAGACATTTGTCTTCATGCAGGAGGGTCCATGGTCAAACTTCTCCTCCTAGTTCATCTCTGTATCAGCCAGGAAAACAGATTTCTGTGCACAGTTCCCTGGGTTACTTGCTGAATAAAATTATTTCTCATTAGCAGGCCAAAACCCAAGAAACAGCCACTGGAACAAACAAGGTTCTGTGCAAATATAATCCCCACCTCACCACCAGGGAATAAAAGCCAAGAATTAGGCTGCAGCCATTCCCTTTCAGCACAATGAATGCTTAAGCAGGTTAAGCATTGCACTGTGGACATTTTCTGGTGAGAAAAAAGAATGACTGCTTTACCAGCCCAACTTGCTGCTCTCAGGGGAGAGCCTAGGGATTATTTTTTGACAAAATAGTTAAGAATGATTACTGCATGTCAGTATGTTTTAAGTGTTAACCTCAAGGATTGATGAAAGTGCTGGTATTTCTTCAGCCTGCTCTTTTCCCATCAGGGGTATTTGTGATGTGCAGGAGAAAGGGCCTGGCTATCATGGAAGATGCCAGCTAACAGAACCTTCTCATTGCTGCTGCAGCAGAAATTCATACAGGTGCCTGAGAAAGAAAAGTTCTCATTTCCCACACAGAAAAACCTATCCTTCAGAGACTTACACTGAGTTTGTTAAGCACTGCAAGAAAAAAAGTTACCTGAAAAGAAAAAGGAAGTAATTTACTGTTGGAATTGCTATCTGAACTGCTCATCAAAGGTGCAGATCTACCCTGTAATTCCTGAGCTGAATTTGGCACTTCACTACTCAGGACAAGAGGCAGCTGATGCACTCGAGGCAGACATAATTGGTGCTGCTCTGCAAGAAGGTGGGTGCTGCAACTCAGAGATTTTGATTCTTTTCAAGCCCACGTGCTGATTAGGGGCTATACAAAGTGAACTTTTTCTTACTGAGACATTTCTAGCTAGACTGTGACTTCTGGACTCCTCCAGACTATGAAAAACTTACACCACACTGAATTGAGGGGCAGGGATGGAACTGCACACAGGGCTAACCCTGAGATGAAGCCTTGGATGTGGTGCTGACAATTCATAAAGAAGAACATGGGCTGGACACAAACCCAAAGGATATGGGGGCTGTGACAGTAGAGTCAGCAGGACGTGATGTATACAGGTCTCACCAGCAGATCATCACTTAGAAGGGAAAGCACAGAAAAGGTGATGAAGCCAGCAGCTCTGTGACACTACTACTAGGCTGGGCTTTGCACCTGGCTTCCACACCATGCTGGAATGGCCTTAGCATACTCCCTCCTTCCCATGCACTGCCTGGAAGTTGATCTTGTCTCCTGCAAAGCCCTGCTTTAGCAGCCCAACTGCACACAGTGTATTTGTAAAAAAACAAAAAAAAACCCCAGGGTTGTTCTGTCCCCAAACCACAGCCATAGGAAGGTAGGTGGGCACTGTGACTTTCAGCACAAGCTCAGGTGGCAGAGAGTGCCAAGGCAACAGAAGATCCAGAGAGGACTGCGCTTTGAACTGAACCAGCACTGCCTGGTTCACAGAGATAACCTGGGACATGCAGCTTCTTTAGAACAGTGGTTGTGCCAGACCTGGGACTTGCTCTGAACACAACCAATGGTGCACAGTGCAACAGTCGCTCAGTATGGATGAGCCAGACCACTGCTTGAGCTCACCTTTGTTTCAAGTAGTATAATTTCCAGAGATAAACAGCACTGTGGCTGCTGGAGACTCCACAGGGGTGGTTCCAGTTCAACTTGTCACCAGTGACTGAATTGAAAAATGTGTGTCATGCCAACTGGGCAGAGAAACGAGTGCCATGGATGTCAGGCACAAACACAATGCTGGAGATGAGCAAGCCCCTGGAACATCCCACCTGAAGATTCAGTGACACAGCCTCCCTCCTAAGAATGAGAATCCCTGGGTTTCTTGCTGTGCCATGTACTGCGCCGCTTAAAAAAATAACCCAGAAACTTTCTCCTTCTTTAGTGAGTCTTCACTTAAAATGAAGCTGTTAGAGGGAGGCTCTGCATCCTACTGTCATGGCAAAAGCAAATTAGAATTGATTTTCCTCAGCTGTCACTGATAACAAAAAAGCTGATACTACCATTGGAAGTAAAATTCTTGTACACGTGCCCCTTAAAAAAATACAACAAGGGACACTCTGGCAGCAGAACCCTCTGTCACCTCTTCCAGGATCAAAAGTACATGGCACAGACTTTCAATCAAACCTCAAAACTCCCAAATTATAAACAGATAGAGCTGTAAAGATCCAGTCAACATTCTCAGCCTAGTGATTAATTTACTAAAATGTTCAGGTACCAGTGTACTAGTCTAAAATGTAGCTTGTTTTATCATGTTTGTGAGTATTCCTGAAGCAGAAAAGGGCCAGCTTCAACAAGGTTACTGATCATAAAACTCTGTACTAAAGATGATGTAGTTTCAAATTTTCTCCTGTAGTTTGTCTATTACAAAACCATTGAATATTACAGTATCACAAGAGGTAATTCCTATTCAGGAATGAAATCCTCTTTTTTCATATTTTAATGAATTTTCTCTGACCTCAAAATGTGTAGACTTCTAATTCCAAACACAGAAAGAGTAATGGAACAAAAATAATAACAGCTGCCCAACACTTCCTCATTCCCTCACTGCAATAACACCATTACAAACAAAACCTCCACACATGGCAAAGGTTATTACAAACTATTTCCATTTACAAAGCCAAACCATTCTCTACATCAGCTCTTGCACAAAGCCAAGAATCTGCAGCTCTCAAGCACATGCCAACCACCTTCTGTGACATATGACCAACTCCACCTTTGACCCCTTCAGCCACCCCAGGTAAAGATGGCACACTTTTAGGGAAAGCTGGGTAGTGTAAGAAAGGGGGATAAATCACAGCTTACACAGATGTGCCAAAGGAGCCCAGTCACAACTCCACAGCATTGTGCAGGCTGTAGGGATGATACAAACAAGTGCTCCTTTCAAAGACAGGGGTTCACAGAAGCTGGAAATGCAAGATGTGGTATACTTACGGAGGCCTGGGGACACAGGCCAGCTCATTTTGATGTGATCATATGCAGAGGGTTTTGCTTTTTCAAACCTGCTTAAACTACTCTTTAAGACTTGTGTGTGATCCTCTCCCAGCATTCAAATATATTCATATTCCATGTCTGAATTGCCTTGTACAGCACTGCAGCAGAGACAGCGTGCTCAAGTGATCAAAGCACCTTTCAGAGCTGTACTACCAGCACTTACAAACAGACTTGTTTTACAAACATTTTGGTTTACAGTCTCAGTGAGATGACATGTTTTCCTCATCCACCCCATGCTGGATATCAAAGTGGCACGTGCTGACACTTACCTAGGAAGCCCTCTTCATCCACAATGATGGTGTAGTCCTCAGGGGTTTCTGTGAGGCTGAAGAACTTGCACCTGGCAAAGGCAAACAGCAGGAGAACATGATTAGCACCTGGACTGAGCAGAGCCTCATCTTCCACCTAAAATGGAAATCCTTTCCCATCCAAGCTGTGCTGAAGGAAAGAGTCACAGTCTGATGTTTATGGAGAGGCCTGAGGCATTAACAGACCTGGATTTTATTTCTGGGTAGCTCACACTGTGTGACCCATATTCCCTGCTGCCTGCCTATGCACAATGAAGCTGCTAAAACTCTTATTATTTTTATTACTTAGCTCTTAGTTACTTTTCTTAATTACCATATCCCTTAAGGCTTCCCATTGCATCCAGGACCTGCTGTGTTGCACTGACACAAAGCAAAAAACTTTGCTCACTGACTGCTCACTCCAGCACGCTCCAAAAGCATTTCCATGGCTCACACATACACCTTTTGCCCACTGAAGTTTCTTGCCTTATCAAGGTTGGACATCTAACCTCTCAACCAAGCCCCAGTATCTCTTCTTGCTCCTTCAGAGGTTTTTGCCACCAGCAGACAGCATCCCAGTTTCCTGTGCTGGTCCTCTCCCCTTCCTGGGTGCTCCTGGTGAAGAAGAGTGGTAGCAGCCATCAAGGCAATGCACACAAGGCTGAGCTGTCCCCGGCCCCATCCCTTGTGGCCTCTGTTCTGCTCCATCCTCTGACACCACAGGCCATGTGCAGTGCAGCACCCCCAGCTGGTTCACCATTTAACACAATGTCACCTCTAACAGCAGATACAAATCAAATGTGACATGGGATTCTTCCACCGCAGACACACAAACAAAAAAAGCTTCAGCCTTAAGGCTTAACACTACATATAGTTGAAAAGATTTTTTTCCCCCTGACACACCAACATATGTACACCAACATCTACTGAAAAAACCCCAGCTTCTATCTAGCTGATCCCCAGCAATGACAGGAAGGTTAGCATGACACTTTGCAAGCTCATGTTCACCTTCAGCAGAGCATCAGGACAGTGCTGGCCAGCATCCTCGACACCCACAGGGCTCCCTGCCCCTCCAGGAGAATGCCAGAGCACATGGGCTGACTGTGTTTGTTGCCTAAGACCAGGAAAAATTTTTCCCTCTAAATTAGGTGCAGCAGGAAGAGCATGTATCTCTAAGAACAAAAGAGCAGGATTTCACCATTACACTACAATACTCTCAAATTTATCTGAGACAACCTACAGAAAATATTTTAAATACTAGAAAAATAGAGACTGTTCTCAAGGCCCCCAAATTTCACAGCATCTTCACAGTGTAATTTCTGCATGAAGAACAATTCAGCAGGATTCAAGAACCAGGGACTACCAGGGTTTCTCAGCACTATTGAGAAAAAGTGTCCAAAAAGTCTTCAAGACTTTTGGACGTCTGGAACCCCATAGTGGTGGCTCAAGACATCAAAAAATGAAAGCATCACTTCATAAAGAATCAGATGAAAACCTGGCATCAGCATTCTTTTGACTGGCTGAAAAGAAGAAACAGCAGCTATCCCCTCCAAAAGTAACAGGGAGAAAAATGAGATGGATGCTGCCCTCCTCACCACCTCATCAGAAAACTGAGAGGAAACAACACACAGTTCAATTAGTGGTCTGCCATGTAACCAACAGGATTTCATGTACATGGAAAGCATTAGACAACCTGCCTTTAGAGACCTGTCCTGTTTTCCTGGAAGCATCCATCACAACAATCAAGCACAACACTTCCTCTTAGCACAGACATATCATTATAAAATACAGCCGCAGCCCCACCACAAAAGAAACCACAACTTAATTATTTTGTGTCATTGGTAATAGCTGCTGTGACAGCCACATTTACCAACTCAACTCTCTCCAGGAATAGTGCCAAAAGAAGCAGAAAACAGCAGCAGCTCAATTTTTTTACCATCACTTCTAAACTGCACCAGGCTGGTGTAATACACTAGTGCAAGGGGTAATACAAGCTGGGCAAAAAGGACTTGTGGGGTGCTGCTTCAGGTGGGTTCCAGGAGGCAGAAGTATTTGTTACAGTGGGTGAATTCGCTAGAGAAGTCACTGAAATAAAACTCTTTGCTACTACTGCCTGACTGAGTCACATGCATGCTGAGTTAGGGAGAAACTAGAGGTCCTAAAGGAGAAAACATTAATATTAAAAACCTAACCTTTCCTGATCTGCAATGGCATTTATGGAAGAATTTTTTACTAGAACAGTAATATGTGTCTGTGTGCACACACTGATCTCAGCAGAAGAAGAATGATTGTGACAGATGCCAGTTTCTGGCCACACATCTAAATATGTTGATATTTAAGAGATATGTACACATGAAATCCCATAATTGCTGCCTCGGAACTCATGTCAAAACCTCATATCTTCATATACCATCTCAAAGCCCAATCTCCAACTCAGTGCAGCTCTGTAAAAGGTCAGGACCACAGAGCCATCTGAATTTAAAAGTGAAGAATTTCACCAGTACAGAGAAGACCAGTGGTTCTTGTGGTACACATTCACTTAGTTCAAGCCAATGATGCATTCTTTTCCCAGAGGAAATCTAAAATTGAAAAATTGAAATTGCAAACCTTGTGTGATAGAAAAAAGGAACTCAATGTCATCTCTCTCTACCACATTACACTACACATGCCTCTTCCATTCCAGTTATTTCAATAATTTCTATTTCCTCTTAAATAGAAGAGGAAATAGAAATTACTCAGTCTTCAATAAGCTGAATGCCAACAGCATCTTCTATTATCACACCAAAGCCAAGAAAGGAAAAGAATTACCCTTTAATAATTTTGAGACATCAGACAAACAGTATTTCTCTAAGTACATGTGGAAACCCTATATGTAGGAAGACAATATTTTTAGTTTCCTAATAGCCAAACCTTGGATGGATTATTTTGGATTTCTGCCTTCTCAGTGTTTAAGCACATTTCCACTTAAGCACTGTTGCTGACTTTGACTGCCTGACAACATATGCCTTTTTCTGGCAATGCCACAAATGTAGACCAATCTATTATTAGATTAGATCTTTGAAACTGCAAAGCGTACACTGTGTATGGAAGAAATACTCAAGCTTGCACAGAGCAGGAAAGTGCCTACGGGATGCAGCAACAGCATCATTTCAGTTTGCAAACAGTACTCCAGTCTCCATGGGAGAAGTGAGCAGGAAAGTGGAGTGCTGGCTGTGCTTGCAGGTCCACACCAGAAGTGTCTCCTCCAGACATTTGGTCTTCTAGGTCTGCTGAGATCACAAGAGTGGTAATACTGGGATGAATGTGACTTCTATTTGTTCTGGGTCACACACAGAGCACAAGTTTCAGGGAAACTGCTTTGGGTCATTTCGAAGTTCAGTACAGGCAATGGTCTTAAAGGAAGACCACAAGTCCTACCTCCTAATTTGTAAAGAAACTGCTTAATTAATTGCTGTCTCAGCAGGGTAAAGTTACAAAACTGCTTGCCCTATGGAAAAGATTCATTCCAGAAGCACGTGGGCAGCTGGTCTCCCCACAGGTAGGAAACCATGGCTAAATGCCATTCAAGAAAGTCAAATGCAAAGTCTGGAAGTAACACAGAAGCTTGCAAAGAAGCAGTTGAACTGAATAGAAATTTAGAAGCAGCAGCAGCAAGTTCATCTGTGTGAATATGAAAAACATAATTTATTGGGATTTGTTCCAGGCTGTCTTCCCATTTGAGATGAGGAGGAATTTGTATGTTTCACTCTGAATATTATCATGACAAAATATATAATCTTATCACAGAATAAGACACATGCTAATAATCTAAATTTTGTTGATCCTTTTTGCAGTTTATAAAAATGACAAGAGGAAGATTCAATGCAACATCTTGTGAGACATATTTGGAAAGCAGTAAAGGAAACCTGTGCTGTTAATGACATAGAGGCCACTGAGGACTACTAAAGGATGATGGGTAAGTCCTGCTGAGCACTCCCTGGCTCTCCAGTTCTCAACTCATCCCATGGATGGGGTCCCACAGTCCCAGCTGGTGCAGTGTTGCTGTCAGGGCACTGTATGGCAGTGATCACTACCTGTTGTTCTTCCACCCTCAGCAGTCCTACTGCAGAAGGGTCCTTTGAGAGAGCAGGCAGGGTACTCAGCTGCCCAGTTTCCTCTGTCTCCACAACAGCTCTCCCAAAAGCCCAACAATGCCCTTTTGGGTCCCTGAAATACCCTCTCCTGAGACCATCTATGCCAAGGACACACGGGCTCTCTGGGCCAGGCACAATGGGCTGGTTTTGCCATTCTTTTCCAGGCAGGCTCACTTCAGCTTCCAGTACAGTCAGCTGTTGGGATCCTCCTGTCACTGCAGAAATGGAGCTGGATTCTGCCCCTACATACCTGGATAGAATTGGGGTACACAGTGCAGCAATGCCAACTAAAGCCTTATGTGCTTGTGGCTCTGATGTGCCACAGATCCACACAGCCCAGTAGATCCAATGGTCCCTTTTCTCCACCTGGCTGGAGGCAGGACCCCTCTAGTTCTGGCCACTATACTCCATGTTCACTTCTTGTAAATGTGAACTGGAGGTCCCTTCAAGAGGATGAAAACCAACATCATCCCTCCTACTGTCTCTGAGGACTTCCCCACTGGAGACATTTCTGCAGCTCCTGCCAGGGCTGTGCAGAGCTGCAGAACACTATCAGGGTGCCGTGCAGCTCCACAAAGCCAGGAGACTGATAAGAAAATCATCTGCTGCTCTTTATGTCAAAATGAAATACTTGGAACCCCAATACTGGGATAAAGTGAATTTAAGGCAAGCTTAGGCAGAAGGTGAACCAGAGCAGACACACATGAGTGCAGGCCATGATTCTCTTCAGGAACCAAAGCAGCACAGCACTGCCAGCATCAAGGAATAGCAAAAGCCTTCAACATGGACCAACCATGGCTATCCTAAGCACTGCTGAGGTGCTGCCTATGCTACGTTGACCTACTATCAAACCATAATAACTATTAACATGCAGGAAGGACAAAGACACATCCTCTCAACTCAGAGCACTTGGGGGGAGA